CATAGTATTATCTCTCAGCGTTCAAAAATTATGATCATATAAAATTTGCAACCCCTTCAAATTGAGGGGGATTTAAACTTTATATGGTCATAATTTTTGAACGCTAAAATATTTTACTATGAAATTTAAAATTTAAGGATGAAAATAAGTCTAGTTGAGAATAGTACAAAAAATATTTCATCAATTTGTTGCTCTCGTTTGGAACAGGGGGAGGCAAAACCTTTAGGGCTTTTTGTTCCCAGCCTGCAATCATCGCAATTTTTTGAAAAGCATCCTTTGTTTGACATAAGTATAAACATATAAATGTTTGGAGTTTGCTTCATGAAGTTAGCTATCTCAACGACCAAAAAATGATGGATTCGCCCCTGCTGCTCTTGGTTAATATAGAAAATTTTAAAAATTAATAAAAATGTGTACAAAATTTTCAACATAAAATAAAAGATATTAAAGTCTAAAATATATAGCAATTTTTAAATGAACTCAAGGTCTTTAAGTATTAGATCTGCTATAACTCCTTCCTGGCTTATTTCAATATCTTCAGCTTCATCTTCGTTGACTTTCCAATACCCTATTGTGTATGTAATTGATTTTTTTTTGTTGCTACCTTTCAATCAATAATTCTTCCAAAAAATAAATGTAAATTTTTTTTTTTTTAATTTTAATTCACCTCCTCAAGGCCGAGAAGGCCACTACAGACGAGGAGGCTACTTATTTGTGGCTATAACCCTCTCTCAACTCTATAACTCCGAAACACGAACCTTGACGAACAAGGCCGCTGCGCAGAGAAACGAGTTGAGCGCGGTACTACCAGGGACGTGGTGGGGACGTGATATTGCCATCATCTAGCACCCATTTATGGCTTAAAAGCTTCTCTATCAAGTTTCCATTTTTCAACATTACTCTTAAAATTTGTTTTTGTTTTTTATCAGTATTTAAAAAAAAAAGAGCATTTGTGGTTTTGGCATTACCAGCTTGCTCTTTTAACATCCTTTTCTAGTTGCTTTCTTTCCAGTTCTTTTTTTAAATTAGCTTTGGCACATCTTTTCCTATTTCTTCATACAAAAGAATATTACAATTTTTAGAGATTTGACTTATTTAAACTCCTCTGCAAATTGCAATTTGAATAAGGTTTTCTTGTTGTGGCAATGTTTTCTCATAAAGCCATGTTAATGTTTTGCTCTGGCTTTTATTTTTGAATCCAGAAAACCAAAAGTAGTATTAGAAGCACGACGCAAAAAAAAATCAAGCATCCTTCAGTTCTTTTTAGCCTCCATTGTATGTGGTGGAGCAGATAGTGTGGTTTTTATCATTTCTTTAGACAGATTTGAGAGATTGCCAATCAAATGCCTGGCTTTCTGTCTTTTGAGAACTGTCTCTCTGAAGCTTACCAAATTTAATAAAATCTTTACCAAAATTATATATTTTTTATATGACACGAAAGGATTGGTGTACCTTATCTTCTTTAATGTTCAATTATTTTTTTTTTTTTTTTTTTTTTTACAACACAAATATCCGTATATATTTCAATAAAACAAAATTACATATTTTTACATATAAGTACAAAACGTACAATTAAACAATTTTTGTACCATTAAAATTTTTTACAAGACAAAAGAAGTTCAAAATTCTGTTCAGCGCATGCGCGTTGTACAGTGTACAAAATAATGTAACTAGGGACTTGCTTGTGGACGTTGTTGAATGTATATATATATAAAATTATTCTTAAAAAATATTTTTCTTTGTCGTAAGGAAACTCGCAGAAGACTAAAATAGTCTTTTCATCGAGACAAGTATTCGACTAAAAATATCTACATCTGTATAAAGAATTGATTCTAGATTACTTTTGAATTAACCTAATTTCCTTATTGCTTTCTGGAAAATGTCAGCCTAATAAGAAAATAATAAATTTTTGTACATTTTTGAAATTACTTTATTATTGTGTTGAAAGACCTTAAAAACTTACAAAGTTTCCTGTTGCATTTTTATAAACCAGACCCATCCATGGTCTAATTATTATTTTTCCTATTAGGTCCAACCCTTGCAGTTGCACAAGCAATACGATAACAATATTTTTAAAAAATGTTATTGTAATGTTCTAAAACAATAACAGTAAATATTGTATTGTAATTACACTTAGATATTACTATTGTATTAACAATATTTAAGAAAAAAATTATATCTAAAAGTTTTTAAATGTTTCACTTGTCCAGCCGTCGCGCCATGTAGCCATGAAACAAGTTGCAAATATTATTTTATGATACTGTTTGGCATACTGCATGAAATAATTTATTGATGTTGTTTTACATGTTAGTAAGGCTGTTATCAGACAAGCAATATTTTGCAGACATTTAGAGACACCCCAAAATTAAATATTTATTAAATTTACGTAATCTATATATTTCTTTGGTTTTTCTAGCTTCACTTCACTTCTCAGAATAAATAAAATTATATATGTAAATGAGTGATATGAACGGGCGCCCCTGAATTTACATGCACCTAAATAATAGTAATTATGTAGTAAAGAAATCTAAATACATTAATTCAAAACGACTTTCGGACTTTGAAATAGTAATACAAATCACTATAATGAATATTGTAATTGTTTTTCATCGCTGCAATACAAAACAGTAGTTATTGTAATTTTTTTTCATCGCTGCAATACAATACCTATAAATATTGTTTTTGTTTCTTATCTGATGTTACAATACTATTGCATGCTATTGTGTTATTGTAATTAATTTTTATAATTAAAATCACAATAATCCGAACCCTAGCCGAGATATTGTTCTAAAAAAAAACGCCTAGCTGTTTATAAAGTAACTACCCCATTTACTTGCAGTTGGTTTTTGACTAGACTCTTTTTTTTTTTTGAAGCTTATCTTGAACTTCAACTATCCTAATTAAACATAATTTTTTTTATTTTTAAACCACTTAACAATAAACATATTACAACAGAGCATAGCTTCTAAAACCTTTATATAAGCATGTATGGTGAAAACATTGGTGTTCTGCGAACACCTAAAATTCTTTTGTGAACTATTATCTAATCGGTAGTTGATAATGTTATTATCACAACCCACAATAACAAAGTTTGTTAATGATATTTCTCTCTTAATATAAATATGTATATATGTTTTATAATGTATATAATGTTTTACAATGTACATATCTTTTTTTTTTTAATGATTTTATTTTATTACAAGTATATAATCGTTTTTTTTTGCAACTGCAGCTGCATTCTTTTTCTTTTAGCAACTGCAGATAATGTAAGCATTTTAGCAATTACGCCAATATAATATATTTATATATCACGATTTTATAAAAATGGGGCTCGTTGATAAGACAGGACTATGTCTTCTTCTTGCTCCAGCCATTACTTATTTTGAAAATTGTATTTATTGTAGAAGGCGAAATATATATATATATATATATATATATATATATATATATATATATATATATATATATATATATATATATATATATATATATATATATATAATGCAAAAGTTAATAAACCATTTTGTTAACTAAAATCATGGCCAAAACTTTATCTAAATAAAATCTCCACTTAATGTATCTATATTTAAATCTGTCTAATCTATAGCAATAAAATGCTTTAGTTAGCATAATATTTTGCACTGCCGCAGTTTGCTGACAATCTTTAATCTTTCCTTGACCCTATGTTGCTATGCGTTAACGACAATTTGAAAATTTTGAATTGAAGCCTATTTTGTAAAAACATGGTTAAGAAAAACTTCCTTCCAGTAAACTGTCCTAAAGAAATTCAGAAAACACTAATTTTATTTTACAAAAACTATTGCATTTAAAAGTTGCAATTTTTATTAGCTAATTACTTTTAACACTTATTGATTTTTTTTTTACCGAATTAACTATTATTTACTTAATAAAAGAAAATAATTTTTCGCTATTTTAATAAACAAAGTCTGACTTGTTGGTATTGTTTATTCTAGAAAGATATAATAAGCTTGAAATAGAGCATCGCGAAAAAGCATTTAAATGAGAAATCATTTAAATGAGAAATCAGAAATCAAAAGTCTTCCTCGCTAATGTCGCTTTTATGACCGGAGCACGAACAAAGTTTTGAAACCTTTCGGCTTCAAAGTTAGCATTGCGCCGCAGCTGCTCAAATTTCAAGGATTTCAAGGTTTAGATCTCTATTGCAAATCACCAAAATAATACAAAACTTCTTATAATCGAGCCTAATGGTGAAATTAGGAAAAAACTATTTGTGTAGTTGCAGTAATAGACTTCATAATAAAAAAAATTATGTATAAAAAGCTAAACATCGGCAAGATAACGATGTACAACATTCTATTAAAAATATCTTTTAAAAAAAGAATATTTTTAAGATTTTTGTCTGATGTCTCATTCAGTAACTTTACAAACGCTTTTTACAAACAATTTTATTACACTGTTCTATAATTTTGAAACTTTGAAAGACGATTTAATTTTAAATTTACAAAAAATTGTTTCCTAAAATTGCCCTAAGATTTATACGAATGGCGTTACGAAAAAAACGATTGTCTCACAATATAAATGAAAAATAGATTTTAGTAGAATAGGATTTTGCAATATACAACCAATACAACTTTGAAGTAAATATTGCGAGCTATTATTGTTTTAGTAACAACAACATTTTATTTCCTAAATAATTTTTTTTTAATCTTCGATTTTATTCAAAATAAAACATTTTTGTGATGGTTGCGTTCTGCGCAACGCCATGCCTATAAACTTGTGGGGATTAACGTGTGCATATATATGTACACACACCTGTTTCTTTACTAAAAACTAATAAAAAGACATAAAAAACTAGCTTTAAAATATCAAAGATTAATAGCGATCTTTTATCTTTTTTCAAAAATTAATACTTCGTTCTTATTTAAAGGTATTTTTTAAAAAACTGTCACATTAAAATATTGACCATTTACAGAAATCTAAGACAACTTTATAAACAAATAGGATTAAAACAAACAAAATTACTTTTTTAGTATTTGTTTTCACTTCACAGCGTTTATATATTTAACCGCATTAAACGGTAAGGTATATTATACAAAAATAACGTAACAACATAGAAAAGTTATGCGAAAATACTGATCCGAGGTTTGCAGTTCGCATTTCATTAAAGTGATTTAACAACTATAGCAACAGATATATAAGTGCATCCATAAGATCTTGGATTACACAATATATTGGTGAAATTATATTTCGATGGGTGTCACTCTACAATAGGTACATATTGATCTTCTCCCATTCAAAATAATTTTTCATGCCACTTGCACTTCTCTTAGAATGCTGCAAAGTAACATAATATTCAAGGAAGAAGCTTGAGGTCCGTCGACTTTAGGTGAAACTCTATTTTAAGTACATCGTTGTCAACTCTTTGCATAATTTTAGCAGCATCATTATTTACGCAATTTGAAGGTTCCACAACTCTCAAAGTTCGAGTTTTTGACACATATAACCGTCGGTAATTCTTCTTTTGCGCCTGCGGCGATCCTTCACCAGTACCCCCACGAGTACGCCGAGTTAGACTCTTACTTTTTTCTTTAGTATCTTTTAACATCGTTCGTTGGAAAGATTTTCCTTCTTTCATTTCATCGTCTTCTGAAGTCTCGATGTCATCTCCATTTTCTTCGTTTCCTCCGTGAGAATTATTGGTAGCGAAATTCATTTGTATACAACCACTTGAACCCATTTGCATTTTGATTTTATTTTCATTAGCATTAAAACTAGGTCCAATAACCAGCTTTTTTATATTATCTTCAGTTGGGGATATATGACCATCTTTTGTGACTTTCACAGAAGAATGATTATAACCATCTTCTGTAATATTTACAGAAGGTTGATTATGATCATCTTCTCTGACTTTCACAGAAGGATGATTATGACCGTCTTCTTTGACTTTCACAGAAGGTTGGTTATGACCGTCTTCTGCAACATTTACAGAAGGATGATTATGACCGTCTTCTGCGACTTTCACAGAAGGATGATTATGACCGTCTTCTGCGACCTTCACAGAAGGATGATTATGACTGTCTTCTGTGACTTTCACAGAAGGATGATTATGATCAGCGCCTAATTTAATTCGGCTTTCCTCGCTTTTTTTACTTACTCTAGGTAAAGGAGAATGACGATCATCAGCTTCTTTTTGATGCGGATGATCTCGATCTGAACTGGTAATAACATGATTATCCACATTCTTTTTTAATTGAAATTGAGCCACTCTGTTTTGTATTGGACTGACAACTCTAGGTAAAGGACTTGTAGATCTAGGCGGAGGTTTAAACGTATCTACTTTCTTTAAGTCGATTTTGTGAGCTATTTTTTCTTCGAAAGGAGTTGAAACTGAATTATTCTTTTCATTAACAGGACTCGTTGGATTTGAACCTGAAGGAATTTCAGGAATAAAATTATCTGATTTTATTATTAACAAGTTCATATTTGCTTCTTTATTATTTCCTAGAGCAACTTCTTCGGTATTTAATTTCGCCGTATCTTTCAAACTTTCGATTGGTGGAGAATTTATAGGTTCCTGACTATTAGTGACACTATGATCGTTGACAGCATTAACTTCTATCTTAGCTTTAGCTGCGTCACTATTATGTTTTTCAGACGTAACTGATGAATTTAATTTTACCGATGTTTTAATTGGATTTCTACCAGGCTCTTCATTATTTGTAAATTTATTAGCCATTTTTGCTGCAATTCCGCCAGGTATTTTTTGAGTAACTACATTTCGTGTGACAACAGGAGCTTTCTTTTCAATTTCTAAAATACCTTTAAAGTTTCTAGATCCTGGGGAACCAGGGGATCCAGCAGAGCTATGGATGGTCTTGTTCTCTAAAAAGTCTGTTTTTTTCTTGGTTATCCATGGACTAGTTGAAACATTTTGTAATAATTGATTAGTATTTGAAGGACTAAAAGGTCTTGTTAATGTTGGGGTGGGTGATACATGTGTATCTGCTGATAACTTGGATTCAAATTTGTTTATTCGTTCTTTCTTGATCAGATTATCAGTATGATTTTTTGATTCAAATGTGGTTTCAGGAGAAAACATTGATGCAAACTTTGACGATAAACGATTTGTTTTTTGTTTTGGATCATCACTCTCAGTCTCTTTTTTCTGCGAAAATGAGGGCGTCTTAGTTACTGATTTTGAACTTACACTAGTATCATCAGATAAAATTTTTTTATGAATCTCCTTTTGATCTTCAGAGACAGAACTTTTTTTAGAGGAAATATCATCTATAATTGGTTCTTCAGTAATCAAACATTTTTTAGAAGTCATATCATCTATATGTTGATCACTGGTGACTGAATAAATTTCAGAAGAGATATGATTTTCTTTTTCATTTTCGCATATTTCACTGGATGATTTTTCATTCTGAGAAATAAACTGATCAGTATTTGCTGTTGGATGATCGTGAAGTTCTTCTGTTTTCGGGTCAATAATTACAGGAATAGCTTCTTTTACATGTTCGGAAATCGGAACATCAATAGGTTCAACTGGCACTTCAAAAACATCAGATTTAGATATACTGGTGTTAGGAATTTCAGAAGATTTTACCGGAAAATGTTTTTTATCCAAATTTTCACATATATTATTAGCTTTAATCACTGCAATATTTTTATCATCAGATATATCATTATCTGTATGATTATTAATTTCGATTAAAGGTGTGTTAACTTCTAAACTATTTTTCTGTTTTTCCATTAGTTTATTATCGTGCAATTTATCATCTGTTTCTCCACATAAACTTTTACAAGAACTATTTGACTCATCAACAGAAGAATTATCAAAGTTTTCAATTGAAACCTGCTTTTTTAGTTTTGGCTTTTCTGTATTTTCTGAAACTATAACATCAGACTTTATAATGCCTTGACTAGTTTTCAAATTTTGTGCAAGAACAACATCTTCTGCTGTGATGCCTTGTTCTAGTTGCTTAATCCAATCATGTTCAAAGGCTTCAAATGCTGTCATTCTATCTCTTTAAAAATAAAAATTAAAAAACTTTAAATGTCAAAAAAGGTAAAAAAATAATTATTATAAAATTATGATTTATAAAAAATATAATATAAACCACTTTTGTTGAAAATGTATTCAAATATGTTTTAATATAAAATACTTATAATATATATTCATGTAAAACTTATGTTTAATTATGTTTTTTCATGTAAAACTTATGTTTAAAATAATCATACAATACAAAAAACAGATACTAACAGGAACATAAAAATGCCTCAGTAAGCTTTATAGAATTGACTTTTAACTAATTAAATCAAAATGATAAAAATAAAAAATCTGGATTTTTATTATTGTGATAGCTGTAATTGGGATAAGTTAGACAGTTTATGTATAGATTGAGCACCCGCTATACTAGTAAAACATTATAGGAGGGTTTTCTTCTTGAGAAATTTTCAAACAAAAAACTTAAAATCTTATTGCTGTATTTTCCCTATATTCAAAAAATAGTAATTTTAGCCATGTTAAAGAACCTTCAATTTTTTGAAGACACGATCTTAAATATAATCTCTCTTCAATGACAGCTAGGGACTCAAAATGGCTGGTTAAGCTATTTTTTCTTTTTCCATCGTCCAAAACCTAAAACTGAATAAGTTTCCATTAAGCTAAATCGCATCCTTTTACTGACTTGTTCATTTATTTTCAAAAACTTTTATTTGTCTAATTTTTTCCTCAAGCATTAAAGCTTTGGAATTCTTAATCGTCTTAATGCTTTCCAGAAATACAATTACAGTTTTAAGGAATCCCAGCACACCTGCAAGAAAAAAAAAATTAGCAGTTTCTCAGAGGTATGCTGGGAGTCAATTAAAAAAAAAATCTCATTACACTGTAAGGGTCAGCATATCATACTGTAAATACCAGTTGTGGTAATTTTATAAAGCCAATCTGTTCAACATACAGTTGAACAGATTGGCTTTATAAAATTACCACAACTTTTTGGTTCCTCCTGATTTAAAACAATATTTTTCATCGTAAAATTTCAAACTAAAACAAAACACTAGCTTTGAAAATGAAAAAGTTCTAAAAATTGAAAAGCAAAAAAACTATATTATAAGCTAAATAAACTATAATTATAAGCTAAATAAACTTTAAAATGTTGCATTTAATAATAAACATTGTGCATCTAGTGATTTAATTGCGCATCTAGTGATTTGGTTTCAACTGTTCTAAAGCCAACAACTTCAAAAGCCAAAAAAAGTTTTCAGAAGTCGCAAATGATAAAAATTTATTACTTTTGTTAAAATAAATATCAATTGATTTATAATGATTTTCTGTACCAAATAAGAGTAAAATCTTCTTAAAAAAAATACTAAAATGATTATTGAAACTGTAACAAACTGTAAATAACTTTAAAGTTTTTTTCAAACTGTAGTTAAATATAATATAATAATTTCATTATATATATATATATATATATATATATATATATATATATATATATATATATATATATATATATATATATATATATATATATATATATATATATATATATATATATATATATATATATATATATATATATATATATATATATATATATATATATATATATATATATTATATAATAAATATAATTTAATAATTTCTGTAGTTAAATGTAATTTAATAATTTCAAACCACTAAATGATGATTTCATTACTACATTACATTTTATTTAGCAAATTGATCTTAAGAAAAAAAGTTTACTCAAGACCACTTTAAAATAAAAAATATTTCAAGACAAACCATCTCCAACATAGTCTTGTGCTGAAAATAGTAATGGTTATAAAATATTTGAAGAAATTAGTCATGTTGCCAGAAAAATGAATGAAAAAAATATCAAGTGCTTCATAACCATGCTTGATTATTGTAATGGAGTGTCTCAAAGGCAGACTGCTTGCAAATTTGAATGTAACAAAGATACCATTTTAAAATGATGACCCGTAAGCAAGAGCTAGCAAAATGTACCATTGCCTGAATTAAAATCTGCAAGAAAATTGAGCATCATTAATGATCAGTCATATTTCACTTTGTCTTAAAGCTCAGTTCATGGCAATTTAATTTTTTACTCAAGCAACGTAAAAAACAAAAACAAAAAACACCTGCCAGAGTAAATTATAGAAAAACTGCAAAATTTAATCAAAATATGTTTGTTTGATGTATTTCTGAGGGATATCAAAAACATACTTTGTTTCTAGCGGTCTTGAAATTAACCAAAATTTTTATTTAGAGTGTTGCTCTCTTTTATTAAAAGTATTATACTGAGGATCAATACTTATTCTGGTCTGACCTGGCTTCATCACAAACCAAACAGTCCCATTATTCTTTTAAGAGAATTAAATAAACTATATGGTCAAAAGTAATAATGTGCCAAACAATTCAGAATGTTACCCAAATAGCCGATTTTCAGAGTATTTTAAAGGGAATGATCAATGCAAAACACTGGTAGGCAATCAAAAGCAACTTTGCAATAGAATAATTACTTGCCTCAAGAAAATCTATTTATAATCTTACCTCAAGAAAATTTATTTATAAAGAATATTTTAAATTCTATATTAAAAGCTAAGACTTTTTATATAGAATTTAAAATAAATAAAAAATTATTACAATTACATAAATCATCTCAATATAGCAACTTTAATGCAAAAACTAAGAAATATTTCCTTTTCATCATTCAGCAGTAAAAAAAATTATTTATTATTTCAACCTATGAAATAATATCATCAATGAACTTAAAAATAATTACGTTAAACACTGACAGATGTAAAATTGATTGAAATTTAACCATTGACATAAAAATAAAGCACACTTATACCAGTAGGATTTGTTTTTTATGTCCCCTTGATACTATTTAAATATGCTTAAACAATGTTTAAATATATTCAATACATTTCATAAAACTCTTGTTTAACTACAGTATAAACTATATTGAAAAAAAGTTGTCAACAAAACTATTTATCAAATGAATTAAATTGCATCTTTTTAGAACTCACTACAATCTAATACTGAAACTTTTAGTAGTGTATAAGACACAAAAATTTAACACTGAAACTTCTAGTAGTGTATAAGACACAAATAGAAGAACAGCAAAACAGTTATTTATCTTTGACACAAACAACTTTAGACATAATGGTACAATTGTAGAACTGGAGTGTATACTTAAAAATAAAAAAAACTATTTTAGTGGTCATTGTAATATGCATGCAAAAGAATAAAATAACCTTGACAAAAAAAAATGAAAGCTTGGCTTAATTTTCTGCTGATTTAAGCATAAATTTAAAACTTGATAAAAAGAAATTATAAAACATCAGCTTAATGCTGTGAGAATACAATTTTTTTCCTGACGTTTCAATTTGATCAACATAAATTCTATAAAACTGAATTTTCTATAAATTTTATGTGTACTCAGATGATTAGGGCAAGATATTCTGAAAAATATTTTGGTAGATTTTGATAGATACAGTTAAGATTTTGATTGTTCCAAAGACTTCCTTATTGATTGTTCCTTATTACAGCAAAAAATAAAGTCTTTGCTTAACTCATAAAATTAAAACATTATATTGGTATTAATACATAATATTTAAATTAATTGTGAAAAAAAGTGAAATAAATAGTACTTTTGACCTACTTTGGTCTACGTTCCAACAATTTTTCAATAAAATTCATTGCTAAATCTGATACATCATCGAATTCTTCACAATCAAAATCATATTCAACCATTCCTATATTTGCATAAGTTTCCATTACATCATCTCCAGCAAATGGAGAAATACCACTCAACCTGACAAAAATTGATACAAATCAATATTCATATTTAAATTTAAAAAATAACTTTTTTATATTAAAATAGCAATAATATGTATACACAAAAATTATACAGGATAATGATTTCATAACATAAGACATGATTAGTTTGCAAACTATTTAACTGATCAATTAATTCTATCTTAATTAAAGCTTATTAACCAAAATTAACCAAATAGAATGAAATCATCAAGTAAAGATGATTTTGAATGACAAATAGTTTATGATACGAAATCTAAAAATGGTGAATCCTAAATTTTAGTTTTCAATTTCATTCATACCCATTAAAAGTTTTTTTAAAAATAATAGCACTTACAATACATAAGTAACTACACCAATACTCCTGAAAATAAAAAAAGTGAAATAAAAAAATAAAAAAAAAATCTAGTAGTAACTAGTAGTAACAAGTAGGAACTAAAAATAACAGCAACAATAATAACTTAAAAAGAAGAAAGAAATATACCACATATCTGAACCAAAATCAATAGGTTCATATGCTAAAACCTCTGGTGCTAAAATAGTCTCAAATATATTAATAAAGAAAATTAATTCAATATTTAGAAATAAACATTTAAACATGTAAAATTTTAATGAAAACAACATTATAGTGGTTTTCAAGCCGAATTTGTTATTGATAAATAATGTTATTGGTTGTATATATATATATATTATATATATATATATATATATATATATATATATATATATATATATATATATATATATATATACAGCTTAAAATCATAAATATATATTTATACTTTTAAACTCTATAAATATTTATATTTATATAGTTTATATTATTATATTTATATAGAAATAATTATATTTATTATATTATATTTATATAGAAAAATTACTTACCAACATATTCCGGAGTGCCAACAATATCAAATTGACTGTAAGGTAAATCCAGCCTCCGAGAAAGTCCAAAATCAATAAGCCGAATTTCAGGAAATATCTCACTAGCTTCTTTTAACAAAATATTGTCAGGCTGAAATTAAATATTAGACTTAAACTATGGTTAAAAAATTCATCTAAAAAATAGTATTGACTTGTTATAATCATAAACATATGACAATACTTTGAAATTTTATTAAAAATTTTAACTGTATTTAAAAAATTTAAAGCAAAAAAAACTCAAATGATTATTTATCAACTCTTAGTACAATTCTAAACATTCAAAAAACAGGTAATCTTTTAAAATAAAATGTTTTAATAAAAAATTGAACTGAGAAAGATTTAGCAAAAGATTTTGATTTGCATATAAAACTGAGCTGAGTAAGATTCAGCAAAAGGTTTTGATTTGCATATACAACTGAGCTGAGTACATTTTGTTTTTATTTAAAATACTTTTTAACAAAGCTATTATATAAAGTTTTGTTTAAATAAAAAAACACCGGAAACCTGATGCAACTCGTTTTATTTATTCTATTATTTTCAATGTTACTGTGCAAAAAACAAAATCTTAATTTTATTTATCTCTATTGTTATTATATTTTTCTTATCACATTTAGATTCATAGAAATATATTGTTTACAACAAAAATGCCTAGTATTTACAAGTAAAAGTTAAACAGTTGAATCTATGCTTTCTTTGATGCTGCAATGTTGCAAGAAGTCAAAAAAGTACTAGCAAAGAACTATCAATAGGAAAAGAATCAAATATATACAATATAAAATTAGGAACTTTAAACAGAGACATTTTTGGATTGGTTTGAGAGTTCTATTTTTTCGCTATTAGAGCTGAAAGTTACTGGAAGAGAAAAGATGAAATTTTTAGAGCAAGGCAACAATTAACAGACAACTTAAATGATTGAAAATTATATGAACCAGGAAAATAAGATAAAGGATGCAAATTCCAAAGGACTGATGTTCAAGGAAAAAGTCTTGACAAAAAAGAATTTTTGGAACACTTAGGAACAGTCACAGTAAAAAGATGAGCCATAATTTAATTGAAGAGTAACACGAGAATAGCACAAGAGACAGTAGCTCTTTAGAGCAGTGCCCATTGTAGTACTTATATATACTAAGCATCTTCCCACTGGTAAAGTTTTTATTATAGGTGATTATCTAGCTAGTCATTTTACTAAGAGTTAAAGCTTATCACTGTAAAAATAATATTGCTTTTGTATGCCTTCCACAAAATTCAACTCATGTCAGCTGCTTAGAAAGTGGGCCGGGCCCCAAAATATGAGATTTTTATAACTTTGGCAATGGCTAAACAATAATTCTAGAAGGGGTTATAAGCTGGGGCTATTTTATTTTGTATAATATTATATAATATTATATTATATATATATATATATATATATATATATATATTATATATATATATATATATATATATATATATATATTTATAAATTTTATATGTATATATATAAATATAAAAATATAAATATACTGGTAAATAATAAATGGTAAAGTGTATAAATATACTGGTAAGTGATAGTTACTTTGAGAAATGAGGGCAGTGCAGGCAAATAAATCTTATATATTATGCATACCTAATGAGTGTTATAAGTGAAAAAGAATTAAAATTAAAAATTTAAATGACTTGAAAACAAATGTGAAAAATACAAAATTCTAAGTTGAAAAATTTCATTAAACAATCTCTTTATAAACTATATTAAGAGCATGAGGATAATGTCTTTCTTTAAAAACAAGACATGTTACGCACATTTCAGTTATTTATTAATTCAATTGCTTAATTATTTATTACCCGCTGTGTCTTTTATTATATTAATATTTATTATTACTAATATATTAGCAACTATTAGTTAATAAAAAGTATTAAAAAAAAAATGAAAAAGGATCTCAAAGAATTTGATTGTACTACTTACTGCAACACACAATATTGTGACTCAATAAGTTAAATAAAATGAATTTGTTTTGACAATTGATATTTCTTAAGTAATTGACACACTTTAAAATAAAATAACTTCTGCATGATTAATATGTAACCGTTACATCAGCGTTACACTATCAGTGAATTAATGACCTGGGTATATTATTAGAATATATATTAGAATTTATATATATATATATATATATATATATATATATATATATATATATATATATATATATATATATATATATATATATATATTTCATTTATAAGGTTTGTCAAGATTTAGGCAGCCCCGGCCCTAACCCTGGCCCCAGCTATGAATTATCAAACCCGGCCCCAGTGGAATATCAGCCCTGGTTACTTACTACAGCCACTAGATTTTGCATTTTACAGATCATTGAAAATAAAATGGAGATCCATATTAGATAAATGAAAAAAAAATCTAAAAAGTGCTATAATTACCAAAGTTTTTTTATTGTTGAAAAAACTGTTGAAAATTCAGTTTCATACTCTTACATTATTATATATTTTTCATATTCTTATATATAACAATAAACTTATTTTCCGGGCTGTGGAGTTGGAGTCATGGAGTTGCGACATTATTAGCGGAGTCACTAAACAAAATCGCGACTCCGACTCCAGTAGTAAAACTTCTCCGTATTGCACATGCATGTAAAAAATATTTAACCTTCAAAGAATTTTTTTATATTACTATTTTTCATTTATCACAATACATTTTTTTAAGAATTCAAAGAGGAATTCAGAATCGCTACTTTTTTTTTACAACTCCAGACCTAGTGATTTTGCCGGTTATCCATTTCAAAAACCGGATAACAGTTCCCATTAATTTGCGGTTAACCGACTATTCGGTAAATTAGTGACGTTTTCTGAATACAGAATCTTCTAAATTTCAATGAACGTAGCGTTTTAAACTAATTTTTTTAAAATTAATGTTAAAGTGTACATTTAACATTAATTTTTAAAAGACAAGTTAGTGAATACAGTCCTATATTATATATTTATAACAAAACATGGAAAAAGATATATATTTTTTATATTATAATATAATATACCTTTTTAATTATATAATTAAAAAAGGTAGGAATAATGTACAAGTATAGTTTAAATGTTTTAATATCAGCGAATATTTTAAAACCATTCTCTCATATAAAAACATTTGATTAGGAAAAATGAGATATTATGAAGTTAATTTTTTTAGCGTGTATTTTAAAAACTCATTGTTATGCGGATATAGATGGAAAAACAGATAAACTTGAATGTTCTCAAAACAACTTGTTGCGGAAAGATAATATAAAGAATATTTGCCAACACTAAAATACCGCTAAATCTACAAATAAACAAATTCTATTGGTTCAAAAAATACCCTGAATAAGCGAATTAGAGTTCCAGAATATTCTGAAGAAGCTTTCTTAAAAATGTATTGCTTGAGTTGCAAAAGTAATAAATAAATCTTTGAGATTTCTATTGTAAATTGTTTTAAGAATATATTATCAAACAAAACTGATTAAATTAACATTTAAATTAATAAAAGAAATTTATTATAATCTTTGATAAATTAACATTTGTCAAACAATAATCGTCATAATTACGTTGTTACTTTCTATAAAATTTCGTAAAATTTTGAAGTCGGTTTTTATTATTCGAAAATAGATATTTGATATTCGAACAAAATCCGGTTAACCGCAAAACCGGATAACCGGCAAAATCACTACCCAGACCCCTGCTTATTTTGTAGTTATTTTATATATTGTATATGAAAATAATTCAGTCGTTAATATAAAACATATACAGTTGGATTAGTAATACTTTTGTTTACTGAAGCTTATTTCAAGTATTTATTTTGGGTTTCAACTGTTATTCATTCCACTCAAAATATTTACAATTATATATATAATTACAATCCACTCAAAATATTTTAAGGTATTATTGATAAATAAAACACTTATTAATGTATCTCTAAACTGTGATTTGCTCTAGTCTTTAACAAACATACTTTGTTAAAACATACTTTATTTGACCAAAGTAACCTAACTGACACAGGGGTTAAAATAAGATTTTTTTTTAAAAAAAAAAAAAAGATAAATAACTTAAAAACTATGTTAAAATAACACAGGGGTTAAAATAAGATTTTAAAAAAAAAAGATTAAAGAATTAAAAACTATGTTGGAAAATATATATTCCTTATTTGTTATTATATTTTAAAAGAGTTTCATTTAAAAAGATCGAATTTTAGTTATTACTTAAAAAATTTAGTTCAATAAAATAAGTTCAACATATGGAAATGCGCGTATTTTAAACTTATGGATAACTTTGTAATATAAACTGGAGAATTTCATTATTTTGAAAATAAAACCATTGTAATTTAAAACAATTTTGTACATTAAATAACAAAACAAAAAAAGTCTATATGAATTATTTTTGACTACCTTCAAATCCAAATGGACTATTTTTAGACTATGAAGATAACAAACAGCTTCCACTATCTGACGAATGAGATAACATATTTCTTTTTCAGTGCGTGCTACGTCAGCCTCTATACAATGGCGATGTAAGTCACCACCTTGAGCGCTGAGAAAAAATTCTTGTATTGTTATTTCAGAATGTAGTTACTTTATAATAAAAAATAAAATAGAAAAATTTAAAATACAAAAAACAAATTTATACCAAATTAAACTAAGAAAATTAAAATAATTATAGTTAAGACTTGATTAAATTAAGAAATTATTTTATGAAAAAGTAGTAAGGTTTACTTATAAAAGAATAGCAAGGCTTACTTATAAAAAAGTAGTAAGGTTTACTTATAAAAGAGTAGTATGGTTTACTTATAAAAGAGTAGTAAAGTTTGTGATGAAAAAGTAGTAAGGTTTACTATGAAAAAGATAATGTTTAGAATTAGAAATGCACTAGTGCAGTTCCAAATTTAAACATAAGCAAACTTATTTAATATAGTTTTTATAAAAGTGTTATTGTTGTATTTTAAATGGAGAACTCATTTAAAATACAACAATAACACTTAAGAAACAGATGTGCCAGGAAAAAATGGAAAGATATATATATATATATATATATATATATATATATATATATATATATATATATATATATATATATATATATATATATATATATATATATATATATATATATATATATATATATATATATATATATATATATATATATATACCCTAATATATATATGTATATATATATATATATATATATATATTAGGGTGACAATAAAAACTACTTTTTTTTAAAATGTCTGCTCTCACCCTCTAAATATGTTCTATTTGATAAAATAATACTAGAATGAAAAAATTTTTTGAATAATAATTCCAAATAAAAATCCTAAATAATCATTTTTTTATAAAATGATTATTTTTTTTTTTAATTTTTATATAATTTCGGTTCTTTTGAGACCCAACATGATACACTTTTAAAAAAAAATTTTTTTGATCATATCAGGGACCCATCTAATGTTTAAGGGTCTTGAGCTACCTCTAAAAATATTGTTTTTTTTTTTTAATTTTAATTCCAGGATTATTTTATCAAATAGAACATAATTAGAGGATGAGAGCAGACATTTTAAAAAAAGGTTGTTTTAATTGTCACCCTAATATATATATATATATATATATATATATATATATATATATATATATATATATATATATATATATATATATATATATATATATATATATATATATATATATATATATATATATATATATAAATGGAATGAACAAATGCTTTTTATAGCGTAATTTTATAAAATACTCTCTTATAAACATTAGATTTTTTGGAAATTTTTCATAGCTATTTACATAGCTTATTCAGCTTATAACATAAAAAAACTTCCAAAATAAGCAACTTGCTATACTTTCAATGCTTGATTCAGAATTTTAACTGTTTTTGCATTCAATTACTTTTAGTTACTTTGATTACTGTTCAAACTAAAAAAAAAACAAAGGTAAAAGTATTATTAAATAATTTAAAATGACTTACAACTCTAAAACAAGTTGCATCTCTGTTCTTGTCTCAAATACATCAAACAGCCTTACTAATTTTGGATGCTGAGATTGATGCAATATATCTATTTCTAAAAGTAGCTGTTCTCTACCACTTCTTCCATGGTTGCCTGATCGTGATTTTTTTATAACTTTTGCAGCATAGACTGTCCCTGTTTTCTTGCAAACGCATTTCTTCACAACAGCAAATCGCCCTCTATATAGTATTATAAACTATAATTGTTAAAAACTAATTATACATATTATATATTAATACTATATTAATAATAACTAAATTATGTGCTTAATAAGCTTTTGATTTATTCTCATCCTACTACAAAGTTAGGAAAAAATTTTATTTTTTATCTACTATAGAAGATTTAGATATGCATTTGCCGACTTTTTATGTCAATTGAAATCCATATGATTTTTTTCAAAAAAAAAATTACAAAGAATAATGAAAAAAATTTAGCTGTCTAAATTTTTTTCATTATTCTTTGTACCCAGTGCATGTAGCAGCAACTCCTTTGCACATTCTCGCTTCATCAGTCAATGTTAGTAATAAAGATCCAAGCAACCCCTTACTTCAGTATGACAACTGATTGCCTATATAATTATGCTTTTATGTGTGTATATTATATATATATATATATATATATATATATATATATATATATATATATATATATATATATATATTTTAACAAACTGATTTTCAACAAGGAAATGAATTTGTTAAAATTCATTTCCTTAAATGTTCATGAAAAAACAACAAGATATATAAAAAAATTTTGAGCATAAAGGAAAAGATATAGTACAAAGATGTATTTTTTGCTGAATGACATCCTATGCATATTTATGCTTCAGATGGTGAATCAAAAGATAACACACATAATCAGCAACCATATTATTTGTAGAAAAGGAGAAAAAAAGCAACCTTACAACAATTGAAGAGAATTGACAACTAGACCAGAATCAGCCACACTTACAACTTACTTTAAGACCTCGTCTATAAGAGAAAAGACATCAATAGAAGAAACAACCAAAATATAACAACAGCATTCAATACAAGAATATATACATGATTTACGGATGCAGCGAAAAGAATCAAGAGTAAAAAATAGCAAGAATGATAAAGAGAGGCAACCTTAACAGATGCTAAATTTTTAATAGATTATATATATAGTTAATGTGTGAGGTCAGTAGAGGAGGATAACACAAGATGTAAAGCAAAGAGCACAGTTTTGTTTTCACTCATCAATTTTGCAATAACTACTAGCAGTAAACAATTGTTATTGCACTAGTTATAAATTTTTGTGTGCTAGTTATAAATTTTTTGGGGGGATTGTAATCAACGTCTTGTTTTAAGCAATTGAAAAACAATGACTTTTTGTAAAGACTGGAATAATTAGTTGTGTCATCAACAAATAGAGACACTTTAGAGGTAAGATCATCAGGAAAAATGGTAAATATAAATAAGAAACAATCATGGATACTTGTAATAACTTAGGTCTTACTTGAAATAAAAGTGTTTAACATCGAGGACAATATTAATAAAAAAGAAGCTATAAAAAAACCAATTATAACAATGAGTAACGATGGAATGTTGTGGCACCATAGAAATTACAGAAAATAAAAAAGAATAGTCCATGAAGAACAATTTTAATACTGTGGTTAGAAAGGAATAATCCAATAATTTTACAAATTTTATCAGATAAACCATTTTAAAATAGCACGGAGAAGACTAATCATGCAAAACTTTTTTTAAAACTTTTGCTGTCAAGAAAACCTGTTTCTCTGGGATGAAAAAAAAAGTGTGGTCATTAGATTCAGTGTATTCATTTTATACAATGATAAAAAATCATTTGGTCTCAAAAGAGCTTGCAACAAAAAAAAAAAAGAAAAAAGAAATTGGTACAATTAGAAATAGCATCTGGGAAGAAGAAAACCATTAGTTTAGGGTGAGGTTTAAGCTGTAATAGGCAAAATAGAATTCAACTTCAATGCCTAATTGAGTTTAAGAGATTATGTAGTATGCACAATATACCAACCACCTAATAGAAAACAAAGAGAAACTGAGCTTAAACCAAGAAGTAAAGGTAAGTGATTGGAATTAACTGGAAAATAAGTCACAAAGTTATCTATCTGAGCAAGAGATTGAGAAAGACAAAAACTTTAATAAACTTTAGTGTCAGCAAGGTCAGCAGAACTAAAGCGAAGCCACTCAGCTTAATGATCACTAAAGTCACTAACAACAGCAATATTGTTTGAAAAAAAAAGGGCTGGGTCGATTTCATCACATAATATAACATTAAATAAATAATTATTAAATAAATAAAATCATTAAATCAAAGTTATAATGGTTTGATTTATCTTGTTCTACTTAATATTGCCAGTAATGCATGAATTTACTGTCCAACACATGCTCTGATTTTTTAGCAATTCAATCAACTATAAAAAAAAAAATTTATATATGTTTAAATTGCAATTTTTAGATTAACTTTTATATTTGTTTAAATTGCAATTTTAAGATTAACTAAAATTATTTTTGCATATCACATTTAAATAATAATAATACAGGAATCTAAATATTTACTGTTCCCTTATTTGTGCCCCTTAATTTTTTATGTCCAGTATAAACAATAGATCAGGGAGGGGCAAACAAATATATACTTCTCTTTTTAAGAAATGAATTATAATTAGTTTCATCCCTGGATCAGTAGGCAAGTTGGAGAAAACACTATTAAACTTGAAAATTAAAAATTAGGTTTATTAAAAATGCTGCAATATTTGTCAATATTTTTGCAAACATCAAAATTAAAAATGTTTGCACTTCTAAAATGTTGGGTCTATTAGTCTTTTTTGTCATTATTCTTAGATCAATAATGTGTAAGAAAAATTAATTAGCTAACAAATCTGTAAGAAAAATTAATTAGCTAACAAATTTATCACAAAATTCCTAAAAATTGTTCTTCTTAGGCCAATCAAAAATATATTTTTAGATATATTTGAGTTCTAAAGTGTAACAAGCTGCTCATATTTAAGCAGCTTGTTAAATTTTAGCTATTGTAGACAATAAACGCCTAATGTCTGCAATAGCTTATATTTAAGCTACTGCAGACAATAGGTGCTAATCAGAAAACTAACTTACAAGCACTTGTTAACAAATAGAAAAATACTACAAGTTTAATACTAAAAATGTTACAACTTCTTTTTACAATTTTTTTAAAAATAGATTTTGCAGAACTTTTCCAAAGTTAAGGTTGTATAATTTTTTCTAATATGATTCAAGTTAATAAAAACCACTTTTTTAAAGACAAAACTATTCAGAATACATTTCTTGAGAAAATAAGGTACTTGTTAAAAATAAAAAAAAAAAAAAAAGATTTTAAAGTTTTCTATTTTTTTAAGGATTGCAACCAATTTTCAATTAATTTTATTTGGATTTACAAAATAATGATACTTTATAATTAGAAAAATCAGAAATGGCATACAACACGCAATTGGCTGAAATATAATGAACTGACCCAACAATTTTTTTTTTTAAACTCCCAACAAGGCTGTAAGCAACCACTATTAAGTTGAGAGTTACTAGAGAAAAAAAAACTAAAAAAGAATAGAGTTATAGAGAAATGAAACAGTTGGCTTGAAAAGTTAAAGGTTGTACTAATCAGAAAAACATGAAGATGGGAGAGAGTTCAAAGCATTGAAGTGCGGGTAAAAAAACTGGACAAAATTTTTAGAGCATACAGGGACAGATCCAGTAAAAGAATGAGACTTTGCTGAATTAGAAGTCAAGTGAGATTGAGTTTTAGTTGATGGAACTAGAGATGATAGCTTTTTTGAGCAGCAACAATGATAGTATTTGTAGAAAAGAGAAATAGATTCAACTTTATGGCAAAGAAAAAGAGGTGCAAGCTTAGCATAGAGCTGGTCCAACTACATTTACAATGCCTGTTTGGACCTTGTCTAGAAGAGAAAGAGCATCATTAGAAGAACCAATTCAAATATGATAATAGTATTCCATACAGGGACAAATAAAAGATTTGTAGAGGTAGAGAATGGAATCAGGAGAGTGAAAATTGTAAGCACGATAAAGAGAAGCAAATTTACATGATGCTAATTTTGCAATCGATTGTATATATGGTTTCCATGAAAGGTAAGTAGAAAACAATAATCCAAAAAAGAGGATACAGTGAGAGGGCTCCCATTCATTAATATAGGAATGTTGACAGTACTGCAATAGTTGTTTGCAGTAAATAACTGAGCTTTGTTGGAGTTAAAATTTAGTAGCCACTGTGAGCCTTAATCTGTTACAGAAGTGAGATCAGATTTAAGATCGGCTGACTTTTCTAAGCAATCGAAAAGAGAAGAATTTTTGTCAAGACAGGAGTATAAAGTTGAGTCATCAGCAAAAAGAGCTACTTTAGATGTAAGATTGTCAGGAAGATCATTCATGTAGATAAGAAACAAAAGAGGACCGAGGAAAAAACTTCGAGGTACCACAGAGGTTACTGGAAATGAAGAAGAGTGTTGACTTTTGAGAATGACTTTAATAAAGCAGTTAAAAAAAAATAATTTGATAATCTCAAAAACTTTTCCAGATACACCACTTAAAACAAGCTTATGAAGAAGACTAGCATGCAAAACATTGTCAAAAGCCTTAGATACAACAAGAGCAATAGCCCTAACCTCTCCGCCTCCATCTAATGCACAATAAAATCTTTCAGTCACAGCAGTTAGCAAGTCAGCCGTAGAGCGAGAGGATCAAAAACTGTATTGATTATCTGACAGTTAGTTATTTGACTCAAGATGGGATGTGAAAATTTTGTATATCAAAGACTCAAAGGCCTTCCTAATAACAGAAAGGGTCACAATGTTCACTAGAGTTTTTGAAAATTGACTAACTTAAAGTAAAAAGTAGAGCAGCGGCACTGGTCAATTTTATTTGACTAAAAAGCAATTTTATTAAAACTATTATTGTATTAAAATAAAAAACAAATTGTAAGTGAATTAGAATAACAAAATGTAAAATAAAATTGTGGCTTTCTATTAATAATTAGGTTATCAAGTCAACTAAAAATACAATACACTGTTTATTTTTTTCCATTTCCATGCATATCATAATTATGATATTGCTACAAATATAAAATCATAAATACGAAATTTGTTTTTTTATAATATTGTTTATTTACTTTGACTTTGACATTTAATCACTTATTTACATTTTTTGTTAAAAGCAAATTTAAAAGATTTTCCAACAATCAAATTCATAATCAATGCTTGTTTTTACAGATTAGAAAAAAGTAAAATGGATTTTTCTAAAAAAAACTACTTTTGATTGTGAACAAATTGAATTTATGAATCAAGCCAATACAAACCAATTAATACTAAGGACCCCCCCCCCCTATATCATTTAAAAAATCCATGTCATTTTGTACAATTTATATAAACAACTCTTGTAGTAAATATAACTCTGGTATCTATAACAAGGTCAAAAAAAAAAAAAAAAAAACTTTGAACCATCTCTAATGTTTTTATATGCCATAATTTCTTAATTTGATAATATTATATTAAATGTTAAGTTAGAGTTAAACCAAAAGCTTAATGTACTTTAGTTATTATCAATACAGATTTTCTATGTTTATTAATATTTATATTTTTATATTAACAGCTTTTTACTACCATTATACAGTTTAACAACATTTATCTTTGAATATTTAATATAAATCATGTACCTTCCAAGTTCATTTAAAATATCATAATTTTGTTCAAGTGTTTCTACTTTATTTATGATGTTCTCAGCTCTTTCAAGAGCCATTATTTGTTGCTGCACTAAAATTTCATACTTTTATTTTTTTAATTTATACATTTTAAAAGTAGAGCAATCTTGTTTTTAGGATCTAAATAAATATCAAAAAGAAAAAAAATTAAAAATAAATACTTTAATACACAAAATTTTAACAATACTTTATTGTAGTGTGTATATATATATATATATATATATATATATATATATATATATATATATATATATATATATATATATATATATATATATATATATATATATATATATATATATATGTATGTATGTAAATGTATATATATATATATATATATATATATATATATATATATATATATATATACATATATATATATATTTATATATATATATATATTTATATATATATATAGATATATATATATGTATGTATGTATATATGTATATGTATATATATATATATATATATATATATATATATATATATATATATATATATATATATATATATATATATATATATACACATATACACATATATATATATTTAAACATTTTTTTAATGCATTCTACAAAATAGAATGCTCAATGTTCTTAAAAGAACAATTATAAAGTAGTAGAAAAAAAAAATATATATATATATATATATATATATATATATATATATATATATATATATATATATATATATATATATATATATATAAAGTGTTAAATCGTTTTAAGTTTTACTCAAGCAAAACATAAAACAGGATATAATCCAAAATTTTAACTCCATATTAATCTCTATTATTTAAAATCATGGACATAGGAATGTGTTGCTTGTTGATTGTAAAAAAGTCTGTTGTTCTATTACAAAAATATCTTAAGACTTAATTTACACATTCTTAATCTCAAAGCTTATTGCTTCACTTGATAAAGATAAGCTTATCATGAAAGAATGACAAGATAATAAGTGCCAAAAATTGATGTGCAGTTTTACTACAAATAACTTTTAAAAAAAGTTATCTAAAAGTTTATATCCTAGTAATTTAAGACTAACTAATTATAAAACAAACTAAAAATAATAAAAGCTAAAATATAAACAAAATAATACTCAGATGAGGTCGTCAGCAAACAAAGTATTTGAAACAATGTTTTTAAAATAAACTTTATTTTACCATTGTTAAATATCACTGTTTAACAGTATAAAGAGACCCACTGATATAAAACTCCTACATGTTATTGGTTTAAGGTTTCATTCAAATTTTGTTTTAAAAGTCTCATATTTCAGAAATTTTGTTTAAAAGATTATAAAACAACATTTAACTTTCTTAAGTTCAAAAAACTGTTCAAACAAAATTTCAAAACAAAATTACCATGGAATTCCCAAATACGTAGTAATCTTCTTAGTAAATCTTTTGGCCAATCAAAACAATGATTTTACAATTAAAGCTCAATAAAAAAGGGTGTTGACATAATTTACATGCTGTTTATATATATATATATATATATATATATATATATATATATATATATATATATATATATATATATATATATATATATATATATATATATATATATATATATATATATATATATATATATATATATATATATATATATATATATATATATATATATATATATATATATATAAAAGATGTACAATAATTTTTAACATTTGTAAACCAAATACCAAATAATAAAAAATAATAAAGAAATATATACAACCTATAAGCAGCTAAAACACATAAAAAATTGTTAACTGTTAATGAAACTTTTGCAGACAAACAAATATAAATTTAGTTCTGGTGCATTAACTATTATCACCTTTTTTATCCCATATGAAGCAAAACAAAACACATCTAAATAATGCTATTAAGTAAATTTTTAGCAAAGTATCAAATGCCCTTTTGTAGCTTAGCATCAATATATATTTAAATAATAGTTTTAAGTAAACTTTTCAGCAAAGTAACACAAGTTCATGTACAGCTAAGCAACAAAATACATTTAAATTGATAAGAAATGCTTACATTATATTACTATATCACTGTTACATATTATTAGACAGATAATTATGACACAAAAGTAGGCGCAATATTCTATTAACAATCTTTATAATTTGTTATATGCTCAATAACAAAAAGCAATTAACTTTTAAATTTTCAAGTAATCAATAAACATTTTTAGACTTAAACAGAGCAATTAGAAAAAACTGTTAGACTGTAAAAAAACAACTAGACTGAATATGTCAGTATTTAAAAAATGAAAGATGCATTTATAAAACATGACATGAAAACATTTTAAATATATATATATATATGGATCATGGAGAGCTATCATAACTGCATACAACAAACTTATTTGAAATTATCAAACAAATGATCTTATTAAATAGTTGCTTGGTTACAAATACCACAATAAAATAGCCATTTTCCATCATCCAATCAATGATTTAATTTTTTTTTATAGACTTTAATGGCATGAAATCACTAGTGGTGGTCAAAATTACTTAACAATAGCGTCTCATTTATGTTTCAAAAATTTGCATACTCAGATTTATGTTTACACTGTGTTTAATAAACTTGGTTAAAAACTATACATGCATAAAATTTTCAGTGTGTCTTATAAACTTGGTTTTCACTGTGTTTAATAAACTTGGTTAAAAACTATACATGCTATATATATATATATATATATATATATATATATATATATATATATATATATATATATATATACACATACATACATGCATTGTAAAGATTAACATTTTGAAAAATAAATTTGCCTTGCATTACATTGCAAAAATTATTTTGCCATAAATTATATATCAATAAGTAAATAGTAAAAATGTTCAACATAAAACCTAATCTAATTGAGATAATTAAATAGCTGCATTGAGTTTGAAGTAAATAATGGTGTAAACACTTAATGTCTGGTTCTAGAAAACATGGTGTCAAGATGATTAAATTTCATAATTTAAAATAATTTAAAGAACATTTATTACTTGAATGCAGTTAAAACTGTATTTTGCTTAAACATTTATCATTCTATATGCCTTTTTTCAAAATCATTAAACAGCAAAATCTGAAATGATATTTATTAAAAAAAAAAGCTTATTGTCTAAACTACGAAGTAGCAGAGTGTTATGTCTAATTTATCTAACCCAATTAGATAAAGACATGCTGTGTTTTTCTTTTAAATAGTGATGAACCTAATAACTCAATACTCAAAATTATTATAACATATCACAAAAAAACAAATTATTTTATTGTTTAAAAAAATGATACAAACATATATATATATATATATATATATATATATATATATATATATATATATATATATATATATATATGTATATATATATATATATATATATATATATATATATATATATATATATATATATATATGTATATAAATATATATAAATATATATATATATATATATATATATATATATATATATATATATATATATATATATATATATATATATATATATACTACTGTAATCACTTCACCGTGAATAATTGGGCCATAATAACTAATGAGACTACATTATTTCCTCTCAGCCATATAAATTTAAAACTTTACAAACAAAGGTATACAATAATTTGCTAGTAGTACTGCACTATTTGAGTGCTAGTAGTACTGCACTCAACTTGTTTCACTGTTGCTCAGTGACACAAGTCACTGTTGCTCAGTGACAAAGTATAGTAGCAACTAGTCCAAATGTAAATAAGCATTAAGTCTAAAAGTAAATAAACAAGAAGCCCAAATGTAAATAAGCAACAAGTTCAACTAGCCATTTAACTAAAACACAAATGTCAACAATTTCGTAGTTATAAGTATGCTGATCTGGTGTCATATGTACATTTCAAAATGGTGCTTGCAAATGTTTAACTAATAAATAGGCTGGGTCAACACATTTACACAAAGGTTATCTATTGAATTAAGCATACTTTTGACTTGACAACCCTAACTCAAAGAAAATAGTAGCATCATTTTTTTTTTTTATCATTGGGCTGGATTACAATATTTGACAACAGCGTGTTGTGTTAATAACACAACATAGCTGTCAAATGATATTTGTGTCTTATCTCTAAATTTCTCTATTTTCAAATTGTACTCAACACTAACTTAATTATGTATTATTTTAAATTTAATTTTTTTTTTAAAACATGGGCCTCACATTAACAACTTGGTAATAACCACAATTCTCAAACAAGAGCACTGCACAAAAGCATGAAATATGATAACTGGGTTAAAAATTTGTTGGATCTTTTTTTACTTAGTTTATCTGTATCATAGAACCACAAGAAATTACACTTCTCTTTTTTTTACTAGAGATTCTCAGTAAAAACTATTTTATTTGGTACAAATCAGTCATAGCTTCTAATGCTTAAGACTGTTTCCCTATTCAACATTACTGGAGATTAAAATAACATTTTTAACATTTCTGGATATTAAAATAAATTTCATTGTTATTGATATCATCAATTAAAATATAAAATATATAAACACCTTTCATGTTTTTTTTATCCCGTGTTAACAGCTTGTATGGTTTGAGAATTTGATTTACAATTGTTGTTTGTAAACTAGCATTTACTGCTTCTCTTTATATAGTTTCTCCTATTCCACCACATGAACTTTTGTTGTGGGATGTTGCAAATAATTGATGCTGAGCATTTACTTTTTAAACTTTCAGGTAAGGTCTGAGAATAATAATAACAGGTAATATGTTGTCTGTTACTGTCTCAGACCTAATATATTAGACCCAAAAATGTCTCAGACCTAATAGGTCTGAGGTCATTTTTGCACTGTGCATCATTACTTTCACTTTAAGCTGCAGCATTATTTCATTTTATTGAGTGAGTGTAGTTTATTTTTACCATATGGAATAAATTTGTAGGAAAAAAATAAACTGCTGTTTGGTATAACTTAGTTGAAAATATACACCAGCAGTCACGTTTAAGTTGCTTTTTCTTTTGCTGTATAATAAACTGCAAAAAAATGCAAAGTTGCATCAGAGTTTTACTGGCTGTTCAAAAGCTTGCCAGTAAACTCTTGTGCAGCATCTAGTACAAAAAAACTTCTAATGTTTGCTTTGCACAAAAAAAC